TTTGCCACATAAGGTAACATATTCACAGAGTCAGGGGATTAGGATGTGGATGTCTTTGGAGCGCCATTACTTAGCCTACCACAGTTTTCCGCTATTGCCACTTCTAGCTTTGTGACACATTGTGAATCTGTCCTTTTCTTTCCATTCTACTGCCACTACCCAAATTGAGGTCCCCGTCATTTTATAACCTTAATGCTTGTATTTTCTTCCCTTTACTCTCCTGCCCACTGCTCCCACGCAAACATTACTTTCTAAAACATTACCTAAAACATCACTTTTTCTCTGACACCTCTATTCAGAAGCTCTCAGTGGCTGCCTGTTGCTTTAACTAGGATTAGCAAGCTTTTTTCTGAAAAGGGCCAGATAGTGAGTATTTTAGGCTTTGTGGTCCAAGAGGCAAAATCAAGACTATAATGTAGGTACTTATATAGCCATTTAAATGTGTCCATTAAAAAAATGTAAATATTATATGCCTCCATTTAAATAACATTTCTAGAACTAGTGACCCAAAGCAGATAAGCAGTTGGCTGGGGCTGAGAGTAGATCAGAGATTGACTGAAAATGGGCAAGAGGGAACCTTCTGGGGTGATGGAAATATTCTAAAATTGGATTGGGATAATGGTTGACCAACCATGTAAATTTACCAAAACACCTCAATCTGTTTACACTTACTATGAGTACATTTTGGTATGCAAATTATACCTTAAGGAAAAAAAAAAAGTAAAAATTATTCTTCACTCATGGGATGTACAAAAACTGATGATGAGCTGGATTTGGCCTGCAAGGCCTTAGTTTGCTGATCTCAGTTTTATATGATTGAGGCTGAACTGCTCAGCCTCAGTTCAAGGCCCTGACCCAGCTTTCCAAGTTCATCTCCTGCTGTGGCTGCCGTGCACAAACCCTTTGCTCTTGCTGTGGGCTTTGTATACCTTTCTTTAAGCTCTGTCTCTTATTAGAAAAAGTCCTCTCTTTCCCACCTACTCAAATTCTACCTGTTCTTCAAGACTCAGAGCTGGTCCTGCCTCCTCCATAAATCCTGATCTTAACAGCCATTATGATCTGTCCTCCTCCGATTTCCTTCCATATTATGTGTACATCTGAGGAGAGAGAGGCGTGGCCTTACAGCTGGGGCACTGAGAACCGTACCTGGTGCTGTGTGGATTCCCCTATGGCAGAGGATTCCAAGTGTGAACATCATTCCACTACTGAGGAAAAGAGATTGAGAACCACTGATCAGTATCACTTAATTGGCACCTAATTACACAATGCCTTATGCTGTTGTTTAACTAAATTACATTCTCCCTAATGGCCCTGCTTCTGTCATGTTTCTCTTCGTTTCCCTCAGAGTTATATGCCTGAGTTATTAGTCTGTTCCTGTTGCTTATAACAAAATACCTGAAACTAGGTGATTTATAAAGAAAAACAAAATTTATTGCTTACAGTTTCCAAGGCTGGAAAGTCCAAATTCCATCTGGTGGTGGTGACAGTGACCCAGAGGTCTCACATTGCAAGATGGTGGAAGCAGAGAGAGAGAGAGAGAGGGAGAGGGGGAGAGAGAGAGAGAGAGAGAGAGAGAGAGAGACACTCTCTTCTTCTTTTAAAGACCTCAGAACCACACCCCTGATCACCATTTTTAATCCATTCACTACTATACGGTCCTACAATCCAATCACCTCTACAAGGCTCCACCGTTCAGTTGCCATAATAGGGTTTCCCACCCTCAATAGCTACAGTGAGGATTAAGCTTCCAATGTATGAAACTCGGGGGACACAATTCAATCAGTCTACAGTTGTGCCTATTATATATTTACCACAGGCTCTATTGCACATATATGGAAATTACTCTTTATTGTTTTTTAAACTCCAGAATTAGAATATCATCTCATAGTCTTTGCCATATCTGTCTCCCAAATTAGTACTTTTATGAGAGGCAGTATGCTATAGTGGTTTGGAGTGTGTATTCTGGTTGTGAAACGCCAAAGGGTTGAGTCCCCGCTTTGCCACTTCCTAGCTGTGTGACCTTAGAAGAGTTTTCTAGGCCTCTCTGTATCTCAGTTTCCTCCTCTGTAATGGAGATGATAATTTTATGTACCTTGCAAGGTGGTTGGGAGGGAAAACTAATTGAGACACCTTAAAGCCTGAATGTGCCCGGCACATGTTAAGCATGGCAGAGGCTTAGCTGATGTTTTTACTATTGTTCTTCACAACCCTCGGGGAGCTGGGTGTGGAGCTCAGCTTGCATCACTCACTGGCACATAGCAAGTACAACGTGACTCTATGTGTTTTTATTTCTTTTAATTGACTCACTTTGAAAATACCTAATTTGTTTCAAAGGGAAACTTTTTAAGCAATGGTATCTATACATTCCAAGTTCTCGATGTCATGATTTCATATTTTTCTACTTTACATAAAAATATATTAATAACTATTAAAATAAAAAATGTTCCTCTGTGTACCACCAGTCATGTCACACATGTGCGATATATTGGCTTAATTGATGTAATATAGAAAAAGAGGAAAATACACATCTTTTTTATATTCAGTTGGGAGCAATCCAAAGTGAAGACTTTTTTGGAATGAACATAATAATGTTAGAATTATGGGTCTGGGGAGGCCTGAGAACAGAGTTGGTTCCGTGTTGGCACCGGAAATCCCAGGGTGAGCTTGTTTTATAAGCTTAGTTGGTTCTTGCCTTTTAAGACCATTTTCAACCAGTCTGAGGTGCTCTCCTAATGAATTGAAGAATTCAGAATGGGAGCTTTTACAATGCTGGTATCAGGGATAAGAATAGCCCTTCTGGACATTATGCAAAGTGAAGTAGGCCAGACAGAGAAAGAAAAATGCTGCATGATCTCACTTATATGAGGAATTTAAAAAAGCTTAATACATAAATGCAGAGAGTAGAATGGCGGTTACCAGGGTGCAGAGGTGGGGGAAATGGAGAGATGTGGGTCAAAGAGATGTTATCTGCAGCTAGGTAAGATGAATGTCTGGAGATCTAATGTACAGCATGAAGACTATAGTTATTAATACATTATTGTATAATGGAAATTTACTAAAAGTAGATTTTATGTGCTCTTAACACACACACAGAGAAAGGTAACTATGTGAGGAGATGAATATGTTAATTAACTCGACAGTAGTAATCATTTCACTATGTATATGTGTATCCAAATGTCATGTTGTATACCTTAAATATATACAAATTTTATTTTAAAAAATAAAACTGTTTTTGTGAGAAGAGGACAGAATACAAAGCAGCCATTTCAAAGTATATAACATTTTTACAAAATATGTATTTAAAAAACCCCCAAAGAATGGCCCTCTTGTTGTAAGCTTTCTGGACCTTCACGAGGAAGCAGCAGTAGGTGGCCCTTAAACTAAAAACACTGATGACTCACAATCTAACTGAGTTAGTGGCACAGGGAAATTTCATAGATTTTATTGTATTCTTATTTTGTTTCCTCTTAACACAAACCAGTAGAGCATGTGGAGTTTTGGTATACCTCTTCAAATCACGATAATTAGTATAACAGAAAACAACACAATAGAATGAAAGAGTTAGGTGGTATTGACCATAGGAAGCTCCAGTGAGAACTGATTCCAGATGCTAGTGAAGGGTGTGCCTTAACTGTGTTACTGAGCACACGCATGCAGAATGGATCCCAGGGTGTGACTTTTAGAAAGATATCAGGTAATGCGTGGTAAGCATCACGTTAGATTGTGATCTTCTCTTGTGTATTTGAGGTTTTTTTTATCTTATTTTGGCTTCTGACTTTAGAGTTCTAAATATTTTTTTCACCTTTCTTTCTGTTTTTATGAGTGTTTTGTTCCCCTGGAAACCATCATTCATGAGTATATTTTAGTCATCAGAAACCCCAAACATAATAGCTGTTAACAGTCTATGTCATTCAGTTGTCAAGAGTTTATTTTGTTTCTGGAACATGCTTACAGATAACAGGAGCCCCCGATTGGACCCTCAAGTCCTGTCAAGTTAATATTTTATTGGTTATTTCTGTTGCCCTTCTAGAAAGGTCTGGCTTCACTGTGAGGCCGGTGGCTGGATACCTGAGCCCGCGAGATTTTCTGGCAGGACTGGCCTACAGAGTGTTCCACTGTACTCAGTACATCCGGCATGGCTCAGACCCCCTGTACACCCCAGAACCGTGAGTATCCACATGCAAAGCCCTGGCTGGACTGAGACCACCACACTGTGAAGTGGTCAATGCTCGTTTTACTTGAAAGTGACTAAAGCCATCTTTTACTCCACAGTGATTTCATGTCTCTAGCCAGTGGGAGTCACAGCACTCACCTAAAGAATGAGGGGCTTGTTGGAGGATCAGACTGCTCAGCTGGGTGCATGGGGACTCTGATATTCTAGCTCTGGCTCATCTCTCTAAATTTATCCCAGTGCTGAACCTTCTGCTTGGCCAGCTCTCCATTCCTGATGAGGAAGGGAAGGCACAGAGGGGTGAAGTGCATGTTGACACGCAGCCAGGAGGCTCCTCTCATCAGGAGGCACCTCCTATGTACACACACCATAGCAATTCATTACTAATCTCCTCTCTTTGGTCTTTTTCATCACCCCCAAACTCAGAACTTTGTGCTGTGCTCTCCCTGCTGTTTTAGTTTCTTGAACATTCCTCTAATCCTTCTCATCACCTCTATGAGGTTTGCGATTCTTCTTTGGCTCTGTCAGCTTTCCTTGAGAGAATCCTTTGGGGCTTTTATCCAATCCCTCCTGGACAATGGGTGAGCTCGGAGTGGGGAAAGAGGCTGAGAGGCGATGCTGTACTACTGCTCTGTCATGGGTGGGAAGCGGGGTAAGCCATCAACTCCCATGTGTTAATCATTTGAACTCATTATACATGGGATTGCATAGTCTTCAAGTGTGAAATGCCCTGTGTTGTATTTCTTTGTATGCTTTTTAAAAAATGTAACACTTACGGGGAGACCACTACGTGTTTGGATTTTTTGGGGATGAGACATCTCTTCCCTCCTGGGTGAATGGGGGAGACTATGGTTAGCATATAAACAGAAAGACAGGCAATATGGTGTTAGCTGTAAGTGCTGATGCTAAGTGCTAATAAGTGTTGTGAGGACAAATACTCGCAGAACAGGTGCAGGAGATGGAGAGCCATGACACTGCTTTTTGTGAATATCTAGGGTAGAGAATTCCAAGCCATGAGCACAGCAAAAGCAAAGGCCCTGAGTCTGGGAGCTGTCTGCCCCCTTGGGCTCCATTCAAATGAGTGCCTCCTCTAATCTTACCCACTAATCTAATGTGTTGCCCACTGTTCTTCAGGCCACTCAGGCTGTTACTTTGCTTTTGGTACTGTTTTGCTTGAATAGGCTTGTGATTAATGGGCAGCCCTGGTCAGTCATCAGCAGGGAGCAGGGTGCCCTTCGAGGTTCAAGCAGTTAAGTAGCTGATGGCAGCAGAAGTAGGCAGGGATTAGAGCCCCATCTCAGAAGCCCCGTCCCTCTCCAGGGCTGGCATGAGGCTCACTGACCAGGTGGGTCCCTGCAGGGTCGCTACATTGTTTTTCAGCTCTTTTTAGCAAGGCTTACTTATAGGACTCAAGGCATTGGGAAAAGAAATGCTTCTTAAAGTGGAGGGAGGACACGAAGGAGTGTTGTCAGAGTTAGAAAGGCAATCTCTAAATCTAGCCCAGAGGGGTTACAAATGGCTCTGTTTACAAATAGCAGGCACTTTGTTAGTTCCTTTTGAATAACTGGCCCTCCAGAGACCTGTGATAGCGTGCCAATAGGTATGCAGAGAGAGAGGGCAAAGAAATGAGATTTTAGCCACAGAGGTCTATAAAATTTGGGGATAATGTGTTACATTTTTACCAAAGTACTTTCAGTCAATTCATTCAGCAAACATTTATGTGCAATGCTAGCAGGGAGGTGCAGCGAATTCAAAGATGAATAAAATATAGCTGCTGTTTTTTTTTTAAAGCAGCTTACATTCTAGCAGGGGAGATAGAAACAAACATTTAGGAAAAAGTGTGGTTAGGGCTATAATTGGGGAGTGTACGAAAAGTTAGAGAAGCACAGAG